GTCCGGGTTCCCAACGCGTCCTGGGCAAGTTTTCTAGTCATAGAAACACCTGATTAAAAATAAGAAATATAGTAGCTGTGTGATGCAACACTTCAAAGTGGATTAACCAGACGTGAAGTAGAACGGAAAAATGTTTTAAATGCTCCATTTCGGCCCCGTCAGTCAGTGTAGCTGCTCACAACAGACTCGCAGATGTTTTCAGCGTCACAATGAACCTATGACACTCCGTCGTTAAAAAAGGAGGCTTAAGGCTGCAGTTAAAGTCAGTGTGTGTGTGTGTGTGTGTGTGTGTGTGTGTCTCAGAGCGTGGAGCTGGTGGGCGACGTGCAGAAGGCGATCCTGCAGCTTCAAGCAGAGTGTGAAAGACTGCATGAAACCACCCAGTGTCTGCACGAGGACAACAGGCAGAAACAGAGCCACATAGAGGTACACAGACACTGTGGATCTGTTGTTGTGTATTCTTGAGGATGTAGTAACTAATTATTGCATTATTTAGTACAGAATACCAGTTTTCTTTTCACCCGTTAAAACGACGCAATGTCTAACTTCTGTTTAATATCGCTGTCGAACTCTTCCACAGGAACTGTACAAGACGACGGAGGAGCTGGAGGAGAAGAAGGCCGACAAGCAGATGGTTGAGAGTGAAATAGTGAGTGAACTTACTGTCGGATAAAGACTGCAGGTACCAGAGGAGTGTTTGTTTATTAGTTTTACTTCATTTAAGAATAGAAGAGCGCTGATATTTCACTGGCCTGGTGCGTAGGAGAGAGAGTACAGGGTTCCTACGCATCCTGGAAAAACTGGATAACCTTACAGACTGTATTCATTATTCTAAAGTTGTTGGGCAGGTATGAAAGGTCTGTCTCTTTATCTCCTGAACTTCCTGTTGTCTCTCCAACCCCCCGAAGAAAGCAGATAAATCTGCTCTGGACAGCAAAGTGAGCCGTCTGCAGTTTGACTCTGTGACGGAGCAGCTCAACGCCATGTTCCACGAGCTGCTCAACAAGGTGACGGGCCAGGAGCAGGACTGGCAGAAGGTCATCGACAGACTGTCCACGGAGATGGAGTGCAAGGTAAATATCCCCCCGGGGTTGATCCGCGGTTCTCTGTGACGCTGTTTCTGACCTCCGATCTCACTGTAGTTGAACAGGATCGAGTTGGACTCTGTGAAGAAGCAGCTGGAAGGTCGCTGGAAGAATATCCACGAGAAGCTGCAGGCTCAGGGACCTCCGGAGCAGGACGACGCTGCTGGGTTGAGAAAGTACGTGTTCACAGCACACATGTAGAGAGAACTAACCCTAACACTTTTCTTAACAATCATACAGACTTATTCTGCTTCTTTTTTGTCAGATTCAGTGTTTCCTGGTCTCTGATTTTGTGAGGAACTTCTTGTCCTGCTGTGTCTGAATACATTCAATATCACTAACCAGCTTTACTGGACAGTCTTTGTATCACACTGTAATGATGGCAGTTGTGTTACACCGTATTTTAATTAGTCGTTCCTCCTCGTCAGTGTGTGTAACATCAGCTGTGACGTTTCTTTGTTTATTTCCAGACAGCTCGTAGACAGATTTCACTGCCTCTCCTGCGACCGACCTGTCGTCAAGTACACGCCCGGACCGTGAGTCAGCACCAGTAACATTTACCTCCCGTCATCACCGATATTATTAGATTTACAGATTCAGATTGTGTGTGTGTGTGTGTGTGTGTGTGTTTCTCTTTGGGCAGTAACAGTAATTTGGTGAGGCTTCCTTCCACTCCTGGGTTCCCCGCACACAAGTCCATCAGGCCGTTCACTGTTTACGCTCTGGAGCAGTTTCGACAGCACTACAAGAGGTGAGATCAGCAGTTCCCTCCCTTTATCCGCCAGCAGGTGGCGCTAGAGCAACAGGGACTCACTGACAGGACCTTAAACATACTTTCTATGGCAGTGGTAATCTATAGTCTATAATCTGTAAAGTGTGAGCCTTCAAACAGAGCTGTGTTAGTTTCTCAGTATCTGATCCACTGTAAGCCGGTCTCGCCGTCTCAGCCTGAAACCAGGAACCAACCGCTACAACTTTGATGTAGCTAACTGTGTCAGGAGACGGCAGCTGCTTCAGAGGAGCCACGCCGCCATGTGCCGGCAGATAGAGAGCGTGCAGAGGAGTCTGAAACCCAACGAGGCCACGAGTGACAGCCAGAGCCAGAACCAGTGAGTCAGGGAGAGAGGGAGGAGAGGAGGGAGAGGAGAGAGGGAGGAGGAGGAGAGGAGAGGAGGGAGAGGAGAGAGGAGGAGAGAGAGCGGAGAGAGGAGGGAGGAGAGAGGAGGGAGGGAGAGAGGAGAGGGGAAGAGGAGAGGAGGAGAGAGAGGAGAGAGGGAGGAGAGGAGGCAGATGTGTTAAAATCTTCTTTGTCTTTAGAAATAGGCTGTTTGACATCGGCTTCTGTTGTTGCCATTGCCTTCCAGTTGATCTGTTGCACCGCCCTGTGTCGTCGGTCCAACGTTTTTGAAAGGCAGGTTGTGTTGTGTTTTGTTGTTGTTGTGTTTGTGGAAGCCGGTCCCCAACCGCGGAAGACTTCGCTTGCTTAAAGGGCCTTGAACGCACCTGCTGGAAGTTGTTTGTGTCTATAGTATATCCAGATGGTCTGGTCTGTCAGCTGTGCGTTTGCGATATTTCTCTGGATTGAAATAAGGGCTTTTCTTTTAGGGATGTTGGTGTGTTTATGTGGTTTATGTGAATAAAGTTGTTTTTTTTGGGGCTGAACCCATGTAGTCTGCAGGAAAATGGAAGTTATAATGAGTATATTGTTGTCCTGGAAATGGTTTAACTTGGCGTTGGTGATACGTTGCCTTTGGGAAAACTGATGTCAAGTTCACGAAAGTGAGCACGAAATATTGGTCTATATGATATATTTATGACTTTTTGCTATTGGTTTACCATTTTTATGAGAGAAGACTCATCAAAACTAAAAAACAATGAGAGATTAGTTTTGAGTATGTGGAGTGTGTTATTAGACATCGCTGTCAATGCAGACCCATAGTCCTTAATGCAAATACATAATCCCTTCAATAAAGTCAGTGTAGCCTGTGGACCCGTTGTTTGCCCCCCCCGTTAGTTAAGAGTCTGCCCTGCAGGCCTTTCAGTCAAGCCCGCTGGAAACCAGCATTTTCTTTGTTACTTCCCAGACCACAATCTTTTATTCGGTTCGGCTTGAAAAGAGGAAGGAAAAAGTTACGCGATTCTCAAGACGACCCTCCTTTATCTTTTCTCACTTTCCTCTGAGTCTTCTGTCCCCCCCAGTCCTTCCTCCTTGTTCTTCCTTCTCGCTCCTCCTCTGGTGCCCCGCCCAGACACCGATGTGAATGAACGATGGCCCCTGTGTCTTAGCCTGTGTCGATCGATGGATGTTGAGTGGAGAGGTAGGGCCGTCTGTCGGAGCGAGAGCGAGGTGGGCGGTGGAGGGCTGTCATGGCCTGTCCAGACTCCAGAAGGTTAATGGGATCAGTGGGAGGTTATGCCCCAGTGGAATACGAGCAGCCACAGCCAGCACAAAACTTTCGTGTGTGTGTTGTGTGTGTGTTTGTGTGTCGTTGCTGTGGTGTGGTGTGTTTTCGTGCGGCGTAACCTAAGGTGTTTTCTTGTTTATCAAGGAGGCTTGCCGCCTTCCCCCTCATTCATTTTGGCGTCTTCTGTCCACGCACTGATACCAGACCCAAGGAGATTGGAGGCGAGTGAGGGGTCGAGGGGGGGAGGGACTTTTGGTGGTAGTGGACAAAAAGGGGGAGAGAGAGAGCAGGAGGCGGAGGACAGGGGAAAGGATTGGTGTTCAGGGTTATGGGTTGAATCGGACTGGTCTTTCCTGCTGCTTCTCCTTGTTTACTCAAGAGGAGCCGGTGGAGCGACGAGCGCTCTGGCAATAAGTGCCGATGGACTTGCCTGCACCCCCTCCTGCCCCTTCCCTCGTCGTCCTCTCTTCTCCGCTTCCCCTGGTGAACGGTGTTTGTGAGACGGATCCAGCGAGACGGTACAGACAAGACAGCCCTGTAGCGTCCCTGTATTGGGAGGGAGGATACTGGAGGGAGGATGAGGGAGGATTATGGAGGCAAGATATTACTTCGTTGTGTGGGAAGATTTATGGGTGCAAGAAAAGACACGATATCACTTTGTGTTGTTATCGGCTCCAAGAGCTGGATTGAAAGGGGAAATGGACACACACAGCAACACACCACACCAACACACACCACACCACACACCCACACCACAACACCACCACAGACAACACACACACCAAGACACACACCACACACACACACACAACACACACAACAACACACCACACCAGACGGTAATTCAACTTCCAAAACAGACAACAACTTCCCCGGTGTTGCCAGTGAAGGGAGTGGTGGTGCGCGGCCGGGGGAGGTTAATTTGTTTTGACAGTGTCTCTTATCGATGGCCAGAGTGCAGGGTGGAGGTAATCACCCTCGCTCGCTGTCAATAAGTGATTTTAATTAGCGCAGCTCATTAGGCTGCCTCAGCAACATGCCCTGCTGACTTTGTGGTGGGTTGCTTTGTGTTTTTTTTTTACTACCTCTGTTCTCTGTTGCAGTGCCTGTTTATCTCTCGTACGCTTGCCTACGTTTTGATTTCACTTCTCTTTTGTTAATTTGAAAGCAGAAGGAACGCACGCGAGTCCCGAGGACGAACCGTCAGTGGATCCCGCACCGTTTTTATATGCGGCTGCTCGCTTTTGTTTGCAGCTTAGGTGGCCATTTTGGGGATCCATTTCCTCACTTGTTGAGTGAGCGAGGGGAAACGGAGAAAGTGCTTTATCAAGGAGACTCATGTCCGTTTCCTGGATGGAGGAAGAGGGAGAAGGAGAGCTTGTGCAAATGAATAATTTATACAGGATTCCTGGAATTGTTTGCCAAGGTGATGATGGCCGACCTGTCTGTAAGCCAAAACAAACGGAGCACGAGAACACACACTCTCTCTCTCAAGGGAGGTTGCCGAGGTTATTGGAGGCTGTGAGACATGCTTTATTTTGATAGCCAGGCTAGAAGGGCTGGTAGAACAGTGTTACACAATTAGTGTCTGGGTGTGTGTGTCTGTGT